ACATCATGCTATCCCTGTCCTCGCGCTTCCTTGCTTCCCAAATCCCCGCTTCCCGCTTTCGAAAGCACGTCCGCACCTCACCTTCACGTGCTGCAGCATCTCGCTGTCCCTCGCTTCCTTCCACCCGCTTTCACCCGCGTCCCGCTATCGCTTGCTCCCCGAATCCCGCTTTCCCATGCTCCTCGCATTACCTTGCTCCCCGCATTCCAATGCTCCTCGCATTCCCATGCTCCCCGCATTCCCTTGCTCCCCACATTCCCTTGCTCCCCGCATCCCGCTTTCCCATGCTCCCCGCATTCCCATGTTCCCTGCATTCCCTTGCTCCCCACATCCCGCTTTCCCATCCTCCCCGCATTCCCATGTTCCCCGCATTCCCTTGCTCCCCGCATCCCGCTTTCCCATGCTCTCCGCATTCCCTTGCTCCCCGCATTCCCATGCTCCCCGCATTTCCTTGCTCCCCACATCCCGCATTCCCATGCTCCCCCCATTTCCTTGCTCCCCGCATCCCGCATTCCCATGCTCCCCGCATTCCCGTGTTCCCCGCATTCCCTTGCTCCCCGCACCCCGCTTTCCCATCCTCCCCGCATTCCCATGTTCCCCGCATTCCCTTGCTCCCTGCACCGCGCTTTCCCATGCTCTCCGCATTCCCATGCTCCCCGCATTCTCATGCTCCCCGCATTACTTGCTCCCCGCATCCCGCTTTCCCTTGTTCCCCGCATTCCCATGCTCACCGCTGTCCATGCCCCTGCTTTCCCATGCTCCCCTCATTCCATGCTCCCCGCATTCCCATGCTCCCCGTGCTCCCCGCATTCACATGCTTCCCACATTCCCATGCTCCCCACATTCCCTTGCGTCCCGCACCCCGCTTGCCCTCGCTAATCCGCCGCTGCCTCTCTCCCCTGTTTCCCGCCACCCGCTTCCCCTAGCTTCCGGCATGCCGCTTTCCCCCGCTTCCTGTTTCTGCCATTCCCCCCTTTTCACATCCCGCTTTCCCCCGGTAGCGACTAGCGCTTCCCGCTTCACCTCGCGGACCGCTTCCCGCTTTCCCTTGCGGGTCGCTTCCCACTTTCCCACGTTGTAATGTGTTACCCGCTTTTTCGCGCACCGCAATCCCCTGCCTTCTCATTGAATGAAAACAGATAAAGGTTCAAGGCGCAGCAGCAGGGAAGAAAGCGAGGTCGCAGAGATGGGGAAGACAACAGATAGTAGCGAGCGGGAGAGGCGAGAGGGGAGGGAGAGGGGCACGAGAGCAGTGGAGGGGGGAAGGCGTGAGAGCAGGGAGGGAGTGAGGCATGAGAGCAAGGAGGGAGTGAGGCACGAGAGCAGGGAGGGAGTGAGGCATGAGAGCAGGGAGAGTGAGGCATGAGAGCAGGCGTGAGTGCAGGGGAGGGGAAGAGGCGTAAGAGTAGGGGAGGGGGAGAGATGGGAGAGCATTGAGGTATGAGGTGCGTGATAGGGGGGGATGTGGGAAGGCGCAAGAGCCATAGAGGGAGCGAGAGGTGAGAGAAGGGAAGGGAAAGAGGGGTACGAGTAGGGGAGTGGGGAAAGGGAGAGTGCAGCCTGGAGGAGATGGGGAGGGGAAGAGGCGTGAGAGCGGGGGAGGAAGAGGCGTGAGGGGCATGGGAGAGGGAGAGGGTGTTAGGGTAGGGGAGGGGGAGTGGCGTGAGTGCAGGGGATTGGGGAAAGATGGAGTGCAGTGAGGGTAGGGGGGTAGGAGTGAGAGCAGAGGAGCGGGAGAGGCGTGAGGGCGTGAGAGGCAGGGACAGCTGGAGGAGATGGGGAGGGAAAGAGGCATGAGGAGAGGGGAGGCAGATAGGCATGAGGGCAGGGGAGAGGGAGATGCATGAGGGCAGGGGAGGGGGAGAGGCATGAGGACAGAGGAGGGGGAGTGGCATGAAGCAGGGGAGGGGGGGAGGGCAGTAAGTTTGAGGGGGGTCCCGGCAGGACAGGCAGTAAACGCTCTATAACTAACCCCTCTCAACCCCCCGTCCCCCCACTAACGTATGCCCCCATCTCTCTCTCCCCCCCCTCCCCCCCCCTCCCCTCCTCCCTGCTCTCTCGCAGCCTACCCGGTGGCACATGATTGCCAGTCAAGCTCACCTTGGACAACCTCTCCGTTAAAAGCCAGACTTCACCCCAAACCTATCCACTCACTCCCCCGTGCATCTCTCAACAAACCACATTCTGTGGGTGATCTCCGTGCGGCCACGCATTCAGTCATTCAGCCGATATTGGCAAATGCTGACCATGTCTCTTCTCTAGCATCATCTACGATGGCTGCAGAAAATGGAAATTATGTAACCCTACATATGTGAACGACACCTTGTAACTGAGTTGGTCCAGGGTTGTAACGCCAACTTGAATTTTGGGGTCGCAATTTCTCTCCCTCAAGTTTGTTACATTCTTCCTGCCACATATATACGCGACCTTTTCAAGTTATGAACGGCTTGTCGGTCGTTCTGTAAGAGTACTACATGAACTTGGCACCAATTTTGGCAACAAGAGTAGCTTTTTATCTTTAGCATAAAGTCATATTAGTCTAGATACATTCAGAAAGTCAAGTTCCCATGGAAAGCGATTTAATATACTAAACAAATCCAAGACACACACTAAGATATATCGAAAACGTTTTAGCATATATAGTAACAAGTGTTGGTTACAACACCTCCATCCAACCACCAAGAAGGGCGTAGTCCAACGGAATCGGTGCCAAACACGGCTTTATGAAAAAATTTAATACCGAACTGAACCGAATTGAATCGCAAATTACAGATTGCTATAGAGTGCGCGGATTCTGGGATCCTAAATTTCAGGTCCTATTTGCTTGATATTCGGGTCTGTAGAAACACGCCCCTATTCACAAAATGACGGTCTGACCAATCACACACCCCCGCCCCCTACCAAACCTGCAACCGAACCCAACAAAATTTATTCATCCAACTCAGCCCTTGCACCTCGTCCAACCAATCAAAATCCGCCAAGCGGTTCCAAAGCGGCTAATCCAGCTCAACCACCCATCCCACCACGCTGCACCCCACATGCCAGCACTCCAGCCCACCACACACTTCTGATCCCTTCCTTACTTGCCCCCTTGCACCCTCTCATGCCTTCCAGCCTGACGTTACTTACAATAATAGCCCTCGGCAGTTCTATCTGCATCAGTTTCAGCTCCCCCTCTCGCCTTCGCGCCCCCTAGTGAGCAGCTCCTTCCTCTCCCGCAAGCTTCGATTACCACGATCGTTCTTAGTGTGCCCTATGCTGAGGATCTCCTTTCACGACAGTCTATCGTTTCAAGCAGCTCATAGGTATTCTTGTTCACCCATGTCATTCTTATCTGCATGTTCATGAGCTAATGCGCGATTAGGGTTGAAGGCATTTGTTACTTGACGTTTCAATCAAACTAATGATTCGCATGTGTCCTCACGATGCTTGTCTTTATCGCATGTAGCTATGTAACTCTGTCCAACATCGAAATAATTCCCCATGAAAGTCCAATTGTAAGTCTCGCTGGTCATTTGATCGTCGGACTAATTTCACAACAATGTCTCGTATGACGTGCAGAAATTTGTAGCCTACCACGAGCTATTTCCTCCGGTAAGTCTGCTTTTGTAATTGCTGTCGTCTGGAAAATAACTAATTTGATTACAATGTTTGAACCTAATGTGCAGGACTCAATATCCAGCATCGCGCTACTTCGTTGTCGTAAGCATTGTCCTTATTGTTGGTGATTTCGACCTTGGATTAATTTCGAGATAAGTTCTGAACGTAACGTGCAGGAATTGCAATCCAGTTTCAAGAATTGCTGCTCCTGGTGTGCCGCCGCTCAGTTTCTCTTTATGTTAGGGACCCACATAGGGGTGCTGGTAGGCAAGGGCAGTTGGGCCATAGTGGTTGTGTACTGTGGTGTAGATGTTTTTTTTATATATCAAATGATTTGCTTGTTGCATTATAAGTAAATCCAAACGAGGCATCCCTAATTGTACCAAACCATGCCCTTAAGGGTACTGCAGCCTGCAAAAACGGACCCATGAAAAACACCGCCAGACGTTTGCAACAAATCATGCTGAATGCTAAACATGGTCAGCATAAACTTCTCTAAGCATTTACATGTTCACTGCAGAAGTTGTAGAAAGAACACCGCCATGCATTTGTAAACGAACCACGGAGATTACCGAAAAGACACCTCTAAGCATTCGCTGTCGTGAACCAAAAAGTGTTTCGGGACATGTTGTCAAAGCATTCGCCAAGTGTTCTAATCTAAGTCCGCCAGGAATTTTCACCCACATGTTCGCAAAACGTTTGTACAGCATTTGCGCGAATGCTACGCAATCGTTTTGCGAGCATACGTTTTTTGCAATGCCATAGCCTTTCCACTTAAAGCTGTTGACCCAAAACGTGCAAGATTAGTAAACATGATAGGGGCAAAAAGTTGGACACGGCAGCGCGCAGGGGCGTAGGGCAGTGGTGCGAGGTGGCGAATGGTTTTCGCCAACGAGCGAGCGTCGCAATACCATGCGCGACAAAAACACTCTTGACGAAACCTCATGAACCAATCAGGGCGCAAAAAAACCGAGCACGCAAAACACCGCCAATATAAAAGGACAAAAGGGGAGGGTGGGACGGAAAAAGGGAAAGGAGGGGCGCGCTAGGCGCGGGAAGTTGGTTGGGAGGGGGGGGGGGGGGGAAGGAGGGAGAGAGTGGGAGTGTGGGAGGGGTGATGAACAGCGAACAATAGGAAGGTACACGTAAGGACGAGGTGCTTTTGGCGAGATTTAGGCTGTGCAACTTGACCCTGCTGCGCAACTCGTGTGGGTAACTTGACTTGGCAATTTTCGCCAAACAACTTTGGGGTGGGGTAGCGCACGCATATCAACTGTTGTAAAGAACATTTGTGTTTTCACGCCGCTCGCACGAAAAATGCAAATCGAAACGCGAAATTAGATTTGGTGCGGGGAATCTAGTAACAAACAATTCGCTATCGTTTCAGGCACTTCGCAAACTGTGATTCCTGCGCTGCGCAACTTGACCCAGTTTTTGCAGAAGTACCACGCCCTTAGGCGTGGTGGCGCTGGGCTGGGTTGCACTTCAAAAGTCCCAAAATGTATGAGCGCATGTTTCAACTTTCTTTCCGCTCAAACGCCTGGTGTATCGGGGGCAGGGGCGGAATTGGCTGGGGGTGGCGCACGCCTATTACATGTTTCCCATCTTTTTGGTGCGCGATCTTAGTTTTCGCTCTCGTTTTGCGGAACTGGGTTACCAGAAGGGCAGTTTCAAGATTAATAAACTTGAAACAAAATTTCCGCAATTTGGGTCAACGGCTTTAATAAGGAACTCGCGTACTATCTTGCGGCCGCGCTGTCGATCACGGTGCATAAGCACACGCTCGACCTCATAAAAGAGTTCCTCTCCGAGGACGATCGTTGGTGGAGGCAAGTACTTGCCGATACACGTGGAAGACATTGTGAATCTGCAATGTATGGGGTAACTTCCACTTGTAAGCTACCACACCAACGCGCTGGATCACCTCGAACGGCCCAATCTATCGAGGGAACAGCTTTCGTGCCCCAGGAATTTTGAGACGAATGTTCTTCGTGCTCAATAATACCTTGTCTCCAACCTCAAAAGAGACTTCCCGGCGTTTCATGTCGGCATAAGACTTTTGTCGCTGCTAAGACAGCTGCAGCCAGCGGCGAGCAGACTTGAACGCTTCTTGCTGCTGGCCCACAAAGTCTTTCGCGGCAGGGACTCGCAGTCCGCCTATCCCATGCGTAGCAGGTCGTGGGATGCCTGTCAAAGTGAGAACGAATAATAACTAGAAGTGGAAACCTAGAACAAATACTAGTTGGTTGTACTCACTAGAAGCATACCTCAGTCTAGCCTATAACTTCTACATAGATAATATGTATAAGTTGACACACCCCCTAGGCTAGACAAGGGGTGAAACTAAACAAGAAGCAAACAGCTCAGGGCGGCACTACTAGTCCAACCACTGAGGCAGGGGTCTGGAGACCAGTCAGCAAGAATACAACCAAAACTGAAGCAAGCCAGGGTGGCACTACTAGTCCAGCCACTGGAGGTAAGGCCACAAGGCCAGTCTGACAAGCATATATAATAGAGAGTACACAATCAGAATCCTAACAGGGGAGCAGCTACACGAACAAAACCAAGCTGTACACAGTGCCGCTGATAATCTTTAGGCGCAAGCGCCTTAGTAAAGATATCAGCTGTGTTGGCACCTGAGGCCAAGTGAACTACGCGGGCCTGGCGGCGCTGCTGTAGCTCGCGCAGGAGGAAGTACCGCAGCTGGATATGCTTCGCTCTGCCCTCAAGCCGAGGCTCCTGACACAGGAGTATCATGGCCCTGTTGTCAGCGTACAGGACCGGGGCAGAGCTAGGCCGCTCACCTAAGTCTGTGAGCAAGAAGGTCAACCAGCGGAGCTCCTGTGCCGCCATGGCACCAGCGTAGATCTCAGCCTCACAGCTAGACTGAGCCACAGACGACGAGCGAGTGGATCTCCAAGAGATAGCACCCGAACCAAGGCTAAAACAGTAGCCCTGCGACGACCTGAGCGTCTCAGCGTCGTCTGCCCAAGAAGCGTCTGTGTGCCCAGTAAGGACCACTGGCCTGCGTCCTCCTAGCACTAACCCCATGCCTGATGTACTAGCAAGATAACGCAAAACCCTCTTAGCGGCAGACCAGTGCTGAGGTCGGTGTCTGCCTGTAGCCACAAAGCGAGCCAGGATGCTGAGAGGGTATGCGAGATTTGGGCGAGTGCAAGTCATCAGGTACATGAGGCAACCCACCAGCTCTGCGTAGGGGCCACTGGGCTCTACTGGCTCCTCAGGAACGGGAGCAGAGAGCCCATGGTCTACGGGTAGAGGTGTGGTGTGAGAGTACGACACCGTTACACCACTTGGCCTTTTTCATATTTCATCTTCATTTCATTCCTCTTTTTATCTCATCTCCTTTTGCCTCATATTCCCCATTTTCCATTATCCTTTGGTTTCTTCCCTTATTATAATTATATCACCGACCAAGCATGGAATGTTCTAGACACGCTATCTAGCGTAATCCTCTCGTAATCTCTTCAAGCCAATAGCCTCGCGTGGCTATACGCAGGGTGATTCTATTTTCTAGAAGGGTCTATTCCTGTAGATAGGATAAACCTGGTTACCTGATGTATTCTGGAAGTATAAAAGCGCCTTGTACTGATCGATAGTGCAACCTTTCCTCGAGACATTCGATCCTGTGACACTTGGTAATCAGAGCTTTTCTCACTCGGCCGCGCTCAGCTAAGCAGCAGCAGCGGGGATCCTGCCTCGAAAAACCGCCGGGGGCGACCAATTCGACGCCGATTCTGGTAAGCACCAGCTCCGCGATTCTCGGATTACCCCCTCCGTGCGTGTTTTGAACAGGATGGCAACCTTCGACAACGCCGAGGTTACCCAGCAGCTCTTTGCGCGCATCGCAGCCCTTCAGGAGGAAATGCGAGCGGATCGCGAAGCGTGGCGAAACCAGTTCGAGCGAGTAACTCGACTCGCCGGAGCGCAGCACGAGACGACAACGGCGACGACGCAGCAGTCGCAGCAGTTTCTCGAGGCTCCGAAACCGCGCCCACCTGAGCCGTTCGATCCGAGCGATCGAAACTCCGACGCCCGCAGATGGATCGCCGGAATGGAGATCTACTTCGCAGCCGTCGGATGGAGCTCGCCAGTCTGGGACGGTCAACGCGTACGACTCGCGGCGACACTAATGCGAGGGCCGGCACTCGAGTGGATTGGCGGCAACAGTACTTTCATCCACGGTGAAGCCACGTGGCAGCAGTTCCGCGCCGACCTGCTGAAACGCTTCGAACCGATAAATTCAAGTTTTCTTGCCCGCGAAAAAATTCATCGTCATCGACAGTTCGGGAGTGTATCACAGTACACGCAGCAGATGGAAGAATTTTATAACCGCATTCCCGACCTGACCGAAGGGGAAAAAGTGCAATCGTACCTCGCAGGGCTGAAGACCGAAGTCAAACGACAGGTGGCAGCGTCAAACTACGCGAGCTACAGTGACGTCGTTTCGGCCGCGGAGCGCTTCGACATGGTCAACGCCGGAACACGACGGACGCACGTCGGCAGTACGCGACAGGGCGACCGCTCGGCTCACCCCACGTTCGCCGACCCGATGGAAGTCGACAGATTCGAGGGGCGGCCACGTCCGAAAAACACCAACTACACGTGTGATTTTTGCGGGGTGCCGGGCCACCGAATCTTCGACTGCAACAAAATGAAGGCCGCACGCGCAGAGTATCGGGCACGCAACAGTGGCGGAAATCTTCCGGCCAATCAGAAGACAAAAAACGGGAGTCGCCAGTGATTGCGGATCTAGCTGGCGAAAATAAAAAGATCCGGAAACGGCCGCGGGATTCCGAGAAAATCAACTTCGACGAAGCTGATTCGACGCGAGAAGGAGGAAATGATGGGGGAAAATCTCCACCCCACGACCAGTCTTCGCCAGGGAAATTCGCCGAGGAAAAATCAGACTCCGCGAAAAAAGACTCTGCCGAGACAGGGAAACTCCTTGAAGACCCAAGAAATTATAAGAATTCGTTAAATTTATCTTATAAAGATGCTTTAATGAAAACTTATGATGTTCGAGGGGCTAGAGCCTTGGAGAAAATTCGGGAGGGACTCCAAAAAAAGCAGACAGCTGTGGAGATCATACCGGTACCGGACAACTTGGGGACCAAATTAAGGAGTGTGGAAAGAAGCCGACCTTTCCACGGAGTCAACGTCCTCTCCCGACACCAGCCCACAACGACTACCCGCTCCCCAGGGAAGACGTCGGTGGAGCTGAAGCAGCTCAAGAGGAAGCTGGGGGTCTACAAGAAGCTGCAAAAACCCCGAACTCCTTCTACGGATGCATCCAGTTCTTCGGCATCAGTGACGCGCACAGTCGTCAAGGAAACTCCGGGCCCTGGAGAAGAGCCGTTCTCCAAGCAGCCTCGGCCAGCTGCCAGCTCAGGAGTAGACAGCAATACAAAGGTGTGTACGGAATATTGGGATGTACCCTATGACCCAATCAATGAAACTATCTTTGGGTACTCCGAGCAACGACTGCCCCTCGTGCTCGAGGTCATCTGCAAAGGACGACGCCTCCAAGCACTCGTGGACAGCGGAGCGTCACACACCGTCTGCGACAAGGCAATGATCGACCGACTCCGGGAAGAGTACAAGCCTTCAGGATTCTCTGCAACGATGGTGGATGGCAGCAAGTTACCAGTACACGGCGAAGCAGTGCTACATCTACAAATCGGACCACTGCGCTGGAGACCTGCACTCCCCATCACCAACATCAAAGGGCTTGACTTGATCTTCGGGCGAGACTTCCTGAAAAAATTCAACCCCGAGATCAACTGGGTGAACCGCACCGCAAGCATCTACAACAAAGGACGGAGAGTACAGCTACCCAACTGGGACGATACAGGAGATATCCCAGTGGAGACACTCGCACGGTTCGAGAAGGATGTGAAGCGGACCGACACCGGGTTCCTGGCGATAGCAACAGAGGTGGAGAATGACGGAGAGAAAGCCTCGGAAACTCCAGGAAAAATCAAGGAATTGCTGAAGGAGTTCCAAGACATTCTTCCTGACGACCTACCGAACGAGCTACCGCCATACCGCACACATCAACATGAGATCGTGGAGGAACCAGGTTCGAAGCCGACCTTCCGAGCACCATACCGGCTCAGCCCTACGGAGCTGACCGACATGAAGAAGCAGATCGAGTATCTCCTAGCCAAAGGACTCATCCGACCATCTACTTCGCCATACGGTGCCCCAGTACTCTTCACACCGAAACCGGACGGAAGCCTGCGCATGTGCATCGACTACCGAGCTCTTAACAAGCAGACCATCAAGAACAAATATCCGATACCGCGAATCGATGACCTGCTTGACCAGCTTCGGGGAGCTACGGTATTTTCCAAACTGGATCTGCGGTCCGGATACTGGCAGATACGGATGGCGGACAACTCTATCCACAAAACTGCTTTCCGAACTCGGTACGGATCGTATGAGTATTTGGTCATGCCGTTCGGACTCACCAACGCGCCGGCAACGTTCCAA